CAAAACTTTACTTGCTTGAGATAACAAAGAGAAGCGACCACCACCAGGACTCCTAGGCGCTCCTTATTCACTTGGTGCTGTCATTTACTTGGCTGCTAGGAGGCGCCTCCCAGGAATCGTTGGAACTGTACAATGCTATGTGGGACTGTCGGGGTTCCAGATGGGGTGGTGGAGGGGCAGCCCAGAAGCAGTCCAAAGTCCACGGGAGAAATCCTTTTGGGGGTTGGAACCCTTTGCACACAGTTTACATCGGAGCACCCATGGTCCTGTGTGGTTTGGCCCGGAATATGAGGGCAACCCAACTCACAGAGGGAGAAACGAAGACAGTTGCAAGATGGGTTCCTCTTTCTGAATGTTCTTGAATCCGTGCGTTGGATAATGACATCCACTTTCGTGCGTCCCGGAGCAGAGACGCGCAGCAAGAGGACACAAAAAACCAGGAAATTACACAATCAGTGACACCTTGGGAACGTCACTTGATGTCCCAGCCTAGCAAAAATATGGAACGCTTCACGAATTTGCGTGTCATCCTTGCGCAGGGGCCATGCTAATCTTCTCTGTATCGTTCCAATTTTAGTATATGTGCTGCCGAAGCGAGCACAAATTTCGGCTCTTCGGCATTCGTATTTAAAGCCCAAGAAGTGAAACACTTCATAGTTATGTCAATAATTATAGTTGTAGCATACATATATAATTTTCTACAGATATATGTTACTAAAGACCTGTGTTATCTGCGCTTAGTTTAAATGTCTTTGATTATGTTGACAATCCTCAGATGTTGGCTCGCTTTATCGCCCTAGAATAGTCAAAAGTCGCAGAGGCTTATGGGAAATAATATACGAACGAGCATGCTCAGATACAGCCCCGCCCCTCCGGCGCCGGAGAGCCAGGTCGCGAAGCGAGGGGGCGGGGCCTCTGCGGGCCGCCGGCATCCCAGCATCCCCTGCGGGCGCAGAGGACGCTCTTGCCCGTCGCCGCGGATCGCTGGCGTCAGCCGGGCCGCGGCCGGACGAGGAGGCTGAAGATGGCGGCGACAGCCGAGCTGCCGTGAGGATCTCGGCGGCGGTGGCGGCGAGAGACCGATGGCGACCGGGGCTCGACCCCGGGGATTCGCAGATCGTTAGGGCACGACGCTGGGCGGCATGTCGGAGCACGCGGCGCCCGGAGCCCCGGGGCCAGGGCCCAACGGCGGTGGCGGCGGCCCGGCCCCCGCGCGCGGCCCTCGCACCCCCAACCTGAACCCCAATCCTCTCATCAACGTACGCGATCGGCTCTTCCACGCTCTCTTCTTCAAGATGGCCATGACCTACTCTCGACTCTTCCCACCCGCCTTCCGCCGCCTTTTCGAGTTCTTCGTATTGCTCAAGGTGATTGCACCCCCGAGCCCCTCGGTCGACCTCTGACCCCGACCCCTGTCCCTGGCCGGGACGCTGAACCCCTGGTTCCCAAGGCTTCGGGACCTTCCCCCTGACCCTAATCCCTGAGCCTGGTGGCCCCTGGACCACCCAATTCCTGGACCCCCAACCTGGTCTGAGCCTCTTGGGAAGACTCATACTTCACCCCATTGGGTGCCCTGATCCTAGAATCCTCACCCTACTGCTATCTGAGGGACCTTTGGCGACGCCCCTCCCGACCCCCAGCCTGTCCACCCCCAAAGTGCCATCCTAGACTTTGCCAGGAGTCCAGCCGTCTGCTCTGGACCTCCACGCCCCCTTCCACCTATCCTCTGCCCCCAGCCTTGGGCTTCCTTTCTGGGAAAGCAGGGTCACCATGGAGCCGTGTTTCTGCGAGTGTGACTGAGCCCCCCGATCCCCCGATCCCTCCGCACTCGCTGGCTATGTGAGGCCTGGACCCATCCCTGTCCTTCCTGAGATGGGACCCATCGTACAGCCAGGGGACCACTCCTTCCAGAGACTGGAGCTGGCCCCAGTCACCCAGCCGCCCAGACTGAGAATCTGGGGTCTCTGTTGGATGGCCAAGTGACCACCCCATTCTTTGCAGAAAGGGGCAGTGCTGGCGGCTGAGGGGCTGCCCAGGTGGGATCTGCTGGCTCTGGGGTCTGGTGGATAGCCGTGGGTGTGGGTGCCAGTCGGGAGGAGACCCTTCCAGCTGCCAGCCTCCTGTGACTGAGGAGTAGTCAGTGCTTTCCCCCTTAAGGGCTTACATGCTGGACAGGGAGGGCCACTGTGGTTGGGCGCAGACTCACCTTTGGGTGCATGGCGTCCTCAGGGAGGGGAACCGAACCTGGGTGGATGCTGAGGGTGGCACGGGAGCCAGAAAAGACCCTCTGCCTCGGGGGCTCCCTCCCAGGTCAGCCTTCCTAAAGGCCCGCACTACCTGGCAGCTCTAGCTGCACCATTTCCTGACGTTGGGTGTGTTGGAGGTGGGGAACTAGGGATGATAGCCCCCTGCCCAGAGGTGCAGGGAGGATAGAGTAACTGGTGGACCTGGTGACCCCGGGTGACCACGGCTGCGCAGTGCTCCAGAAACCGCCCTCTCTCCCAGGGCCTCTCCGCCATCATGTCTTTGGGGGGCAGTTTTTAGGGAACAGCCAGCCCATAGGAGAGGTGGAGCCAAGGTCCAGGAGCTCAGAAGACCCCAGGGGTCTCGGCCCCTCACCATTACTGGTCTCTATGGCACCAGGCCCAGAGTGAGGTGCTGGAAACAGAGTAGGGGTCAGAGCTGCTGGCCTGCCCTGTGTTTGGGATGGCAGTGTCGGCCAGTTTCCTGAGGGAGGAGCCGCCGTGACAGGGAACCTCTGCAGCAGGGACAGGGAGACACCAGTGTCCCCTGGGGCAGCATCACTGCTGAGTGGCTGCTGCTGCCGTCCATTTGGTAGCTGGCCATAGGGAGGCATTTAGCCAGTGGGGTCAAGGGTGAGTCAGGGAGCTGGGGACTCACCTGCAGCTGGCCAGTGGACTTCCTGGAGGGGGCGGTACCCAGCTTGAGCCTACAGGACATGAGAGTTGGTTAGAGTGTTGATGTGCCCAGCTGGGGGATTCCTCCAGCCTGCGCCCTATATCATCTTTCCCTGGGGGCCCCATACAGCCCCTGAGAGGGCACCGGCTTATCTACATGGGGGTGCAGGGCTACTGCAGTATTCACCAAGCCACAGGCAGCCAGGGAGAGGGGCTGAATCAGCACCCCATGCCCCTGATTCTCCCTGGTCACTGGGGCAGTGTGAAGGGGGTAGCCCCATCTAGGCGCTGTTCAACTTCTGAGCATCGTCCCCACCTAATGGGTCCTGCCAGGTTCTGAGTGGGGTGGCCTCTGAGCCCGTCTCCCGCTGACAGCTCCTCCAGGCTTCTTTGTGGCCTGGCCTCTGACTCCTCCTGTCCCCCCAGGCTCTGCTGGTGCTCTCTGTCCTGGCCTACATCCACGTTGCCTTCTCGCGCTCCCCCATCAACTGCCTGGAGCACGTCCGGGAGCACTGGCCGCGCGAGGGCGTCCTGCGGGTCGAGGTCCAGCACAACTCGAGTCGTGCGCCCGTCTTCATGCAGTTCTGTGACGGCAGCGCCCACAGCCGCTTCCCGAGCCTGGCCGTGGAGCCGGGTGGGGCGGGCCTGGAGGTGGAGGAGGAGGAAGAGGAGCTGACCATGGAGATGTTCGCGAACAGTTCCGTCCAGGTGAGCAGCAGTCCGTTGTTCCCACCTGTGTTTGCACTGGGTCAGAATTCCGTGGGGTTCGGACAGCAGGGCTGTGGTGGGGCTGACCTATGGCTCTGGGGAGACAGCAGCCAGGATGGTTCTGGGGTGGAGAGTAGAATGGCCAAGGAGGTGATTCCATAGGGTCCAAGCCGAGCGTTTTCACACATCCTGAAGTGGAGCGGTGGCCCAGGAGGGGACTGAGCTCCCCATCCCTGTGGGCATGTTGTTGGCAAGGCCTGGCTCTCCGAGAGAGGCTTGCTGCCTGGTCAGAACCAAGCCCCAAAGAGGTGAGCTCGGAGGTGGGCAGAGGCATCAATGCAGGGTCTGTGGAGTGTGGGTCCTAGTGGCGGCCGGAAGGGGAGCGTGAGGCCTGTGGGTCCTGGGTACTGACATGACGCCCCTGGTGACTGCAGTTTGAACTGGACATTGAGCCCAAGGTATTCAGGCCACTGGCCGGTGCGGAAGCTCTCAATGACAGCCGGGAGTTCCCCTTCCCTGAGACTCCCACCAAAGGTAGGCCCTGCCCCCAACCTCTCCGCCCTCCAACTGTGAGGTCAAGTGGTCAGGTGTGGGAGAACTGACCCCTCTGCTCAGCTGGCCCTGCCCCTTTGCACCCCACCCTCCTGTCCTTCCGGTAAGCCTGTCCTTCCATGAGACAAGGAATCCTGGGGCTGGGAGAAGTCCTGAGCAGGGTGGTGGCCCCGCCAGGCCCCGCCCTCACCGTCGCCCCGTCCCCAGCCTGGCCACAGGACGAGTACATCGTGGAGTACTCACTGGAGTATGGCTTCCTGCGGCTTTCGCAGGCCACGCGGCAGCGCCTCAGCATCCCTGTCATGGTTGTCACACTGGGTGAGTGAGGCGGCGCAGACAGACGGTGGCGGGGCCTCGGTGGGAGGTGGGGACACGTGCTGACCACCACCCCCTCTGTCCCAGACCCAACGCGGGACCAGTGTTTTGGGGACCGCTTTAGTCGCCTCTTGCTGGACGAGTTCCTGGGATATGACGACATCCTCATGTCCAGCGTGAAGGGCCTAGCAGAGAATGAGGAGAACAAGGGTGCGTCCGGACCGCCCTGGGCGGGGGTGGGAGGAGGGCTGGGCTCACTGGTGACGGTCACCCCACCCCTAGGCTTCCTGCGGAACGTGGTGTCAGGCGAACACTACCGCTTCGTCAGCATGTGGATGGCGCGCACCTCCTACCTGGCGGCCTTCCTCATCATGGTCATCTTTGTGAGTGCGGGGCCCGGGCCCGGGGAGTGTGGGGGGCTGGTTCAGGGGTCCTAGCATCAGAGCTGCTTGGAGGGCGAGAGCGCCCACTGTCCCATGTTCCCCTGCAGACCCTGAGTGTTTCCATGCTGCTCCGCTATTCCCACCACCAGATCTTCGTCTTCATCGGTGGGTCTCTGGGACGTGAAGGGGGAGGCGGGAAGGAAGGGGGATCAGCGCCAGGCCCCTGCCACCCTCACCCGACGCCCCTGTGCCCACAGTGGACCTTCTGCAGATGCTGGAGATGAACATGGCCATTGCTTTCCCGGCCGCGCCACTCCTGACTGTCATCCTGGCCCTTGTCGGTGAGGACCACCCCAGCCCCGCCCCGCCCTCTTCCCCAGCTCTCCTGCCCACCGGTGCCCGTTTCCCCCCCGCAGGCATGGAGGCCATCATGTCTGAGTTCTTCAATGACACCACCACGGCATTCTACATCATCCTCATTGTGTGGCTGGCAGACCAGTATGACGCCATCTGTTGTCACACGAGCACCAGCAAGCGGCACTGGCTCCGGTGAGTGGGGGGGGGGGGCCTGGGCAGTGGCAGGCTGAGTGGGGGTCAGCCCTGCCTCACCGCTGCCGCCCCCTTCCCCCAGGTTCTTCTACTTGTACCACTTTGCCTTCTACGCCTACCACTATCGCTTCAACGGGCAGTACAGCAGCCTGGCTCTGGTCACCTCCTGGCTCTTCATTCAGGTGGGCCCCTGACGATGGGCCTCTTGGGGGTAAGGTGGGGTGGATGTCCCCCCGCTGACCTCACGTGTGTGGTTCCCCCCCCCCTTGCAGCACTCCATGGTCTACTTTTTCCATCACCACGAGCTGCCCGCCATCCTGCAGCAGATGCGCATTCAGGAGCTGCTGCTACACGCGCCCCCGCCAGGCCCCGGCTCCCCCACGGCTCTTCAGGACAGTCTCAACAACAATGCTACCGGCCCCGGCCACCCTGCTACGCAGCCCGCCGCCCTGGGGCCTAGCTCGCCGGCTGTGGGTGGGGCCCCTGTGGCTGTGGCCCCTAGCTCCTTGGTGGCAGCGGCAGCCTCGGTGGCGGCAGCGGCCGGAGGTGACCTGGGATGGATGGCAGAGACAGCGGCCATCATCACAGACGCTTCCTTCCTCTCTGGCCTGAGCGCCTCCCTGCTGGAGCGAAGGCCTCCCCCCATGCCCCTGGCCCCCACACCCCAGGACCTTGTCCCCCAGAATAACTCCCCAGCACTGGACATGGATCCCCTAGCTGCCCAGGAGAGCGAGCCCAGCCCTGCACCCGTGACCACCGAGGATGCGCCCTTGGAGGCAGGCTCCTGAGCCCGACTGGCAGCTAAGCCGCCTCTCCCTGGTGCCTCCGCACGCTGGGCGTCACCCTGCCACCCACTGGGTGGGGAGATCCCGCAGACCGGGCCCTCCCACCTCAGACCCTGGCCTCAGGTCTGGGTCATCCAGGGGTTGGCTCAGAGGGGCCTGGAAGGCGGCCTTCCCCTCGGGTGGGGCCAGGCCAAGCCCAGTCTTACAGCAGAGAAGCAGGCAGGACGCTGGGCCAGGGTGCAGAAGGGGATTGGAGGATCTAGAAGAGGGGCTGCGTTAAAGTCTGGAGTGAAGTGTCCCCGTGGACAGAGGGCAGTGCTGCTTGGTTGGGGCTCTGAGTTTTGGACAGGAGCACGGTTCTGGGTAGGGGTGGCACACCCTCCTGGCTGGTCCCCTCCAGGGGCTGGCAGCCTGGTGCTCCGGGCACAGTGCCTTCTGAACGCCCCAGCCAGGGAAGGCGAGGCTGAACCCTGGGCACAGGGCCAGGCGGCCTCAGAATCACTTGGAGGAACGCGGGGCGCGCTCATTCCACTCTATTTAATTGCAGTGTACAAAATTGTGTTTGTATATAGAATAAACCGTCTGTTGACAACGCCGAGTCCCTATGCGCTGGTCTGGGCCATCATGGGGCAGCCGTGGGGGTGGTACGGCCCTGCCTAAGGTGTAGTTGCCGTTCTCTGTCGCCCAGCTCTGCCAGCAACTCTCCACGCCGCACCAGTGCCTGGCGCAGCCGTTCGCGCATGCTCGCTATGTGCTCCTCCAGGGCTACCAGCTCACCGGGGCCTTGGGCACCAGCAAGTGGCAGGCCTGGTGCGCCGCCATTTGAGCAAAGCCACACTGGGCCCTCAGACTGTCCAGTGTCTGCGGCCACGGGCTCCAGGAAGCGTACGCGGCGGTGCTCAGTCCTCACAGCACGACGCACCCGCCTCCAACCACCTGGGCCCACCGCTGAGGCTGCCTGCTCCTGGGGCTCCGTGGGTCTGCTGGGGATGAGGTGCACCCGACTGGGCTCACCCTGCCCCTCCCTAACAACCTGGACCCAGCCTAGTATCCCTTCAAGGCGGGGGCAGCCTTGGCTGTTGGCACTTCCCACTTGGAAAGGGAGACATGGAGTGTGTGTATTCACACCCTCTCTGCTCCACCCCCACCCCCCACCGATCCCCCACCCCACCCCGTGCTCTGTTGTTGCCTTGAGTAGAGAGGGTCCTGGGAGGGTAGGGGAAATGGGGCCCACCCAACAGGGGACTGGCACTGCTTGGGGCGGGGATTCCCAGTGTTCCACCCCTTACCTGGACTCTGGCTCCGATTTCTCCTCCCTCTGCCCTTCCGGGGGCTCGGGGTTGAGGGCACGGTGGATTTTCTAGGAACCCACACAGGCCCGGTCGAGGCTGTGGTCCCTAGAGAAAGCCACCACGTGCCCCTGCTCCCACCCCCGTGGCCTGGCAGAGCCCCCACCTGGCTTGTGTGCAGCCAGTAGCGCAGCTTGTTAGCCCTCCGGATGTGCGGTAGCACCAGGCGGTAGAAGATGTGCTCACCCACCAAGGTGAGCAGGGCGCTGCCTAGGCCCAGGCACAGGAGCACGAACAGGCCTGAGAAGTGGTAGATGCCCATCTGGAGGGTCTGCGGAGGGACATGGCATCAGCCATCGAGGTCACTGTAGCTCCCCTGGGGGAGGGGGCAGGCTGAGAGGCAAGGACCCATGGTTGGGTATGGAGGTGATGGTAGAAAACTTCACTGAGGGCGCACTGGAGTTGTGGTTTTGTAGGATGAATGGGAGGGTGCAAAGTCACCAGTATGCATCTTGGGAATCAGCAGGAGTTGGGCACACAGGTGCAGGGCCCCTTTCACCCGCCCTTGCCCGTGTCCTGGGCCCTTTCTCACCTCTGTGACTGCGAAGACCCGCTTTCCGCAAGGGACCATCTTGTACCATTTGTCATGCAGTAGGTCGATGAAGCCCGAGGACTTGTAGCGACTGATGAACTCTGACAAGTTGGAGGTGAGCGGCGAATTCTGGGGCAGCCCGATGCCATAGCCTGGGGGAAGCCGGAGTCTGGCGGGGCCGGCCTGGCATGCATTCTCCAGGATTACCCAAAGAGCCCAGGGCAAGACCCCACGAGGCCCCACTCCAGCCCCGCGGGGCCAAAGCCCCAATACCTGGCCTGGCCTTGTCTTTCCTTACCCTCAATGGCAAACGGCTTGCCCACGGTCAGCAGTTTGCAGTCCGCATCGATAGAGACCTCATAGTCTAGAAGGGACTTATCCATGATGAAGGCGTTAAGCGTGGGGGGGTCGCTCCTGCAGAGGGTGGGGATTTGAGGGTGGGCTTAGTGCTCTCCTGCCCCGCCCCCAGCCCCGCCCTCGCCCTCACGTGAGCATGGCGACCCCGTCTGGCGTGGTGGGCGCTCCGTGGCGGCGCATGTGAGCGTGCATTTCAGGAAAGCTCTTCTTGATATAGGCTTCGGCGCTGCTCTCCCGCACGGTCCCCACGTGGAAGCCTGGCGGCGGGCGGTGCAGCTGCGGGGGAGGAGCTTGGTCCAAACCAGGGTTCCACTGGACACCACTGACTCGGAGCCTGGATCCTGCTCTGGGGTGGGCTTGTCCTGTGCTTTTACAGTGTTGAACAGATCCCTGGGCTCCACCCACTCGATGCCAGCAGGAAGTCCCTAAGGTGGCCAAGTGCCCCCTGGGGACAGAATCTCTAAACTCTACTTGAGTTCCCAGGACCACCCCCAACTTCACATTAAATTCGATTCAGTCTCCCCCCTCCAGTCTTGCCATGTACAGGATGCCCCGGTTGCTTCTCCAGCATCTTCCACCTCACCTCCGTGAAGAGCAGCTCTGTCCTCTGCCCACTCACCCCCATGCAGACCATCTACAAGCCCTGTGGGTTCTCCCTCCAGAACACCCAAATCCGCCTTGGTCCCCCCTCCTTAAAACAGAGTACGAGAGACACTGCAAACCCCTAGTGAAGGGACCAAATATGCTCTCTGCTAGTCACCACACAAGGAGCTCTGGTAGCGTAGTGGTTACGAATCGGGCTGCGAACCTTAATGTCAGCGGTTCGAAACTACCAGCTGCTCCGCGGGAGAAAGATGAGGCTTTCTACTCCCGTAAAGATTTACACCCTCGGAAACCCTGTACAGGGTCGCTATGGGTCGGACCCGACTCAACGGCACTTAACAACAACAACAAGTCACCACACAAGCACTGGTCATTTGGCGTTAGGAGCCCAAGGCTTAACTCACCACTGTCTCATCTTCACAAACCATGACTCAATAGAAACTGGAGAACTGAAATTGTAACTTAATTGTAATTCATATGAATTTAGGTAGCCATATGTACCCCAATATCTGATGACGGGACATCTAGGGGGAGGGAGGGCATGGCTACAGAGAAACACTACTCAAGATTCAACCAGCCAGCTGTAAGAGGCAGGAATGGCGTTAAAGCAAAAATCCCAATGTCTTCAACAAATAGATGTGATGTAAAAATAAACCGATGAATGAAAAGAGGGTGAATTAAGGGGCTCACAGAGGTTCCAGGCGCCTTATTGATATGGTGGAGTCCTGATGTTGGCGTAGTAGGTTAAGCATTCGTCTGCTAACCCTGGAGAGTCTGGGTTGGGTTTTGTTGTTTAGCAGTTAAAAGAGATGTAAGAAATTTCAATTGCATGCTAGGTCCAAAGTTTACAGAGAATATTAGGAAGAGGAAAATAATACAGTGACCCTGGTTGTTAAGGCTGAAATATTTATGGTGAAATGAGAAATCTGGGATTCGCTTCAAAATAATCTCATGGTGGAAAGGGACGAAACTGGCCATGAACTGATTCTGGAGCTGAGAGCAGGGTTCACGGAGATCCATGGGTTTCTACCTTGGATTGTTACCAACTTTTCAATAGAAAATAAGTAGACAAACCAGACTGGCCCTGTGCTGTCCGCTGCCTCCCTGCGGCCACCAGAGGGCACCTGTGAGCACGGAACCAAACCGTCCCTGCTGTGCGGACTGTCCACACTCTGTCCCCTCAGTCGTCTGTCAGAATGGAGGTAGCAGCTTCTTGCTCTGCCTGCCACTCTCCGGACTTCCCACATCCCTTGGGTAAAAGCCTGAGTCCTTCCCACCCACAGGGTCCTGCAAGGCCTGCCTCATCTGCCTGCCTCCCCTTCACTCATTCCATCCACCTGACCTTCCAGGTACATTCCACCTCAGGGCCTTTGCACTGTTACCTCTGCAGCCAGTACTCTTCCCTGATGTTGTGGTGGTTAAGTGTCATAGCGACCCTGTGTTGGTTTTCAAGGAGTCTCTGGTGACTTTGTGCTGCTGACCTTGCAGTCCAGTGCATTAGCCAGTGGCACCACAGAATACCCATGTTCCCTGATGTTGTTAAGTGCCATGGAGTTGGTTCCGATCCATAGCGACCCTGTACAGGGTTTCCGAGGCTGTAAATCTTTACGGGAGTAGAAAGCCTCATCTTTCTCCCGCAGAACAACTGGTAGTTTCCAACTGTTGACCTTGCGATTCGCAGCCCAATTCGTACCCACTATGCTACCAGAGCTCCTTATGTTCCCTGATAGTCCTCTAAAATTCCCTCAAATGTCAGTCCCTCATAGAAGCCTTCCTGACCACTGCCATCTATCCCACCTCCCCACCCTTCTGTGTTCTTCTCTGCCATTTCCCTGTGTCTTCGCACAAAATATCTGTTTTACTTATCTTGGATCTTGTCAACTCTTTGCTTGCTTCCTTTGTCCCTACAGGCTTCCCAGAGCCTGGCACACACCAAACCAAACCCATGTGTCAGAGTAGAACTGTGCTCCTTTGGGCTTTTCATGGCTGGTTCCTGGCAAGGTGCCTCTGAGGGGATCCGAACTATCAGCAGCCATGCACTGGAATCGTTTGCACCACCCAAAGATTCCTTGTTGTTTTAAGTGCTGGTGGGTCGATCCTGACTCATAGTGATCTTGTACAGGGTTTCTGAGGAGCAGTCCAGTGCTTATCCTGCAGAGCCACACCAATGACTCCTGGGCACACACTAAAACTGAAACAACTTATTGCCATTAAGTAGATTCGGATCCACAGTGACCCCATGTGACAGAAGAGAACGGTCCCGTAGGGTTTCTGAGGCTGGACTCTCTCTTTAGGGAGGAGTCCTGATGTGGTGCTGTAGGATAAACACTGGACTGCTAATTTCCACGTCGGCGGTTCAAACCCATCAGCCGCTCCGTGGGAACCCTAGACAGGGTCACTGTGAGCCGGAACTGACAAACCAGCATTTAACTCTTTGCAGAAGCTTTCTCCCACTTACCGGATGGTGGGTTTGAACCACCGAAATGCTAACAACTGTGCCACTGGGGCATCTTCTGCACACACTAGACACTCAATAAATGTTTGCAGGCATGGAGAACAGCATGTGGTTGGCTTCCTGGCTCAGGATAGGGTGGCTGAGTAGATGTCCACCCTCCCAACTCTGAGACCCTACCCCCCTGCTACCAGGCATCCCACCTTGGGATCATGGATCCCCGACAGCTCCTCGAAGGTCTTGTCCCCAACCATGACGGCGGCCAGGTTGGCAGTGTAGCTGGACAGTACTAAAAGGCAGAAGATGGCCCACAGGTTCATGAGGAAACGCCCAGTGGGGCACTTGGGGGTCTTGCTGGACACGGTCCGCCCGAAGAGAATGGCGTAGCAGAGATTGAGGGCTGAGGAGTAGGAGAAGACGGTACCACGGTTCCGGCCACGGGGTGTGAGGCCGTAGGGGCTGCGCCACTCGTACAACGTAAGGAAGAGTGCGGTGAGGTGCAGCGCCGCGAACACGCCCATCCACATGGACCAGTGCAGCGGCCACATGAAGGCACCAATGGGCGAGGCAGTGTCGCGCGTGCGCACCAGGATGCCCAAGCTGGTGGAGAAGAAGGGGCTGGTGAAGTCCACCACGCGGGAGCGGGCCGAGTTGATGCTGAAACTGGTGACTGCCATGTGAGCTGTGCCGGCCAGCAGGTCGCCCACCAGGCCTGTCCAGCGGCCGTCACGTAGGGCCCCGTATTTGCCGTCGCCCACTATGTACAGCTCGAAGTCAAAGGGGGCGTCCTCCGCCAGCCGCTCCAGCAGGTCGATGCAGTAGCCGTAGCAGCACTTGCGCAGGGCGCGGGGCACCGAGCCGTTGGCCAGCGCGGCGAACAGCGCGTCCAGTGCGGCCGAATCGTTGGTGCCAGGCTCCAGGCACAGCTGGCCCGCTGGGCACTGACCGTCCTCGTCCACCTCGCGGGCAAACACAAACGGGTGTTCCACCAACGTCACTACACGCAGCTTCTGCCGGGTCTGCGCGCCGGGTGGTTGGAGGGGCCTCAGGGATGCGCCCCCCGGTTCCAGCTCCAGCCGCCCGTCGTGCCACCTGCCCAGTGTGGCCCACGCAGGGGCGCCCAACGGGTCTTGGCGGAGGCTCCACACTTTGAAGCTGCGGGAGATGTGTACCTGGGATGCGCTTGTCACCCACACTGGCCCCGTGAGGCCCTGGAAAGACGTGTTGGCCAGGAACCTGGGGGGCAGGGCGTGGTGTCAGGAAGCGGAGCCCCTCAGGCAAGCTCAGACCACCTGCCTTAATCTCCTTAGCCATTCCTACAATGGGGACAGTGGTGGTCACCTTCGGTGACACCCCCATTCCTGTTCAGCAGCCCAGATTCTGCAATTACAGCCCCACACGTTCCGGTCTCACCCTAGAGCTCCGCCCCCTGACCCGCCTGCCGTCTCCTCTTCACCCTGCAAATACCCGCCTCCTCGCACGCTGCTCTGGCCTCGGCTTCTGGGGGCCTGACCTATGACCACACTCAGTCTGGAATCTTGGAGACGTGGTGCGCGGATGGACCCAGCCATCCGTGGGGTGGAGTGGTATGAGGGGACACTGTAGTGAGCACGGCTTCGAGGTCCAGATCACCCCACAGATGGCATGAAGCCTGGGAGTTTTGCCTTTGGATGACAGAGTTGCCTTACACAGAGACACCGACACCGAAGAGCCTACGGAGTGGAGGGGTGCAGGGAATCTAGCTAGTGAGTGATGGATATGGGGGTCTGAAAGCTGACCCCCGGACTTATGGTGAATCTAACTCTGAGGTATGATTCACTCAGCTCCTTCCCTCCCCACCCCCTTTCCCCTCTCTGGAAGCACCCCATAATCTGTCATCTGAATCCTCTTCTCGGACTCTGCTTTTCTATGACCCCCACTTAAGAGAGACAAAGCCACCAACTTGTAAGGACTCAATATAGTGTAATGTATACAGCAAGTGCCCAATAAAGTTGCCTTTGGGGGGCCCCTGGGCAGAGGGGTCACATACTGCCTGGACACAGCCTTCCGGAACAGGGTCTCCACTCACCGAGCCAGGAAACGGCCAGAGGACTCAGGCCCGGCTGGTCGCAGCTCGGTGCAGTTGACCACGGTGGGGAGGAGGGCGCGCTCTGGCTGTACGAGGGCCACGTTGCCCAGCGCCCTCGCCACCAACTCCACTGCGTCCTGGATGGCGGCCTCCAGTGGGGGCCGGTCCACCTCACCCAACGCCAGTAACCCGGGCGGCAGGTCCTGGGTAGGCAGCGCTTCGGCGGGCAGCGGCGTGCCCAAAAGCCATCGAGGCCCGGAGGGTACGGCCGCCAGCACTTGCTGGGCGTGGGCTGCGTCGCAGCCCAGGAGAACCGCCGCGCGCACCGGGGCCTCGGCCCCTGACAGCGCCCCTAGCGGAGCCAGGCGCACGTGCAGCCCTGCGTCACCAGTGTCCGGCCGACTCAGATCCAGCACGAGCTGTGGGGCTCGGCCAGCCCGGCGTGTCCAGAGGGCCACCAGGCCACCAGGGTCCCGGACGCGGCAGAGCACCAGACCGACGTCCTCCCACGCGTGCGCCTGAAGCAAGTCTACCAGCACATCTACCAGGGTCTCCAAGGGGCTAGCCCAGTCCAGCTGCAGGTGGAAGGGACTCTATAGGAGAGGGCAGCCAGAGTGAGCGTCCCACCACACCATATACTCCTTGCCTCTTCCCACCCCCGTCATAAAGTGCTCAATAAATAGATAACAACTGGACAATTAGACTTCCCCCATCCTTGCTCTTAACAACAACATCCTTGCTCTATAACGTCTTCATCACAATGTTCGTCCATCATTCAGGGGGTGTTTCTTGGCTCCAGCCGCCCTGGTAGCCCCCTGCTTGGAATTTTCCTTTATCTGCACCATTCCCTTTCTGCCAACCAACTTCTACACATCCTTCAAAACCCAACTCCATTTTCCCTTCTCTATCAGACTTCCTCCATGTTCCAACAAGAATCTTGCCTCCCCATCTAGGACTTTCCCTAGCTCCAGTTCCCTCCTTTCATTCCAGACCTGACCTCATCTCACCTCCACCCTCCTGCCAACCCCACAGGACCAGACCAAGGCTGTACACCCCTATGAAGACCTGGCTGACGCCCTTGAGAACCCAGACAAACAAAGGGTTATTGCTGTTAAGTGCCATAGCGACCCTGTATAGGGATTTCTGGGGAGCAGCTGGTGAGCTTGAACCACAAACCTTGTAGTTCAAACCGACCTTGCAGTCCAGAGCATCGACCCACAGCGCCACACCAATCCAGAAAACTCTGGATTTGCACTTAGCGTGTAGAGGTAGAGAGGGCTTTGCTAACACGGACGAGGTTCAGATGTTGCGTGCTGGAGGGACGGGTGGGGGTGGGGAACAAGCCTAGAGCAGGCTAGCCCAGGGTCGCCAAAAGTCCAGCCCCAGATCCTCAGAGGCGCACTTTCTGGAGGCTGCAGTAGAGGGCGCCACAGGCCTGTTTTTGAGTGGTGTACCTTCGCCCAAAGATCCCAGGCGGGTTACAGGGACAAGGGTCGGGCCTTGGCACGGGAAGGTTAATGAGCCTCTGGGCTTTCTCTAGGACCAGAGTCTCCCACTCTTGAGGGAAGAGAAGGTTTGGAGGGGACCCCAAGTTGGAATTGAGAGGTTTAGGGGCCAAGGATGTCTTCTGAGGCTGGGCCTCTCTTCCTTTTCGGGGCACCCCGCTCACCCTGACCCTTGGGGGCAAAAGGGCTCTGCTCTTATTCCCTTTCCTCCTGAACCAGACGGGAGTGCAGTCAGGAGAGAGAACCCCAAGGACGAGAAGGGAGGTGGAGAAAGACAGAAGGGAGGTGGAATGGCAGAGTGGGGATCCAAGGACACGCAGGAGGCTGTGGGATAAGAGGCCTCGCCTTGGGAGCCTCGGGGAGGGTCCTTGGTACCAGAACTGTACAGCTGGGCGAACAAGGAGACCAGCTTCCCCTTCCCAGCTACGCGGGCCTGGTGCAAACTCGGGAGACGCCCCCGGGGGATGGGCGCTGGAGACTGACTGGTCTTCCGGATGGATCTCCGTGGTGGGGTGTCCTGGGGCCGCTTGGTGGTGGGTCCTAAAGGCCCAGGGAGTTCGGCGCCCTAAGGAGCCGTCTAGGGGACTCCCGAATCCGGAGTCCAGGGGTCCGGCCCGCGCATCCCGGGGGTCCCGCACTGGGGTTAGAACTACCGCCTCCAGATTCCCAGACGTCCCGGGATCCCCCATGACCCCCAGCGTACCGGAGCCCCGAGGGGCGCGCGCGCTTCCCGTCGCACCAGGCTGAGCACCGGGGTCTCGGTGGCGGTGGCCAGGAAGTGCAGCTGCAGGAACTCGGGCCGCGCCTCTGGAAAAGCTAGGAGCGCAGCCACGCCCGGCGCGGCCAGTGCCCGGCACAGGCCTCGGGCTAGCGACGCGGGGTCGCGGGCTGGGGGCGCGGCGGCCACCAACTCCAGGCTCAGGTTGTGCGGCAGCCACGGCGGCATCCGAGCCACCCCGGCTAGGGCTGCGCGGGCGCGGGCGCGGGCGGCGGGCGCGCGGGGAAGGAAGGCTCCCAGGCGCAGCGAGCCCCCCAAGCGCGCCAGCTCGCCACACGGCTGCGGGTGGCTGCGGGCAGGGCAGGGCCACAGAGCCAGCGCCAGGCCCAGCCACAGCGCGCGACGCACAAACTCCATAGCAAAGTTGGGGGCGCAAGGCGGAGCCGCGGGGGACACCAGCCACGCGGGAGCCAGGACCGTGGCTGACCCGATCAGCCCTCCCCGCGCCGCCCCGCCCACCGGCGACACCCTAGCCGCTCCTGGTCCACGCGGGAACTCCGCTCGGGGCTGGCCCAACTCCATCTCTGCTCCGAGCCAGAGGAGTCAGTTCCCCCGTTCTACAGATGAGGAAACCGAATCTCCAAGTCCAACAGGGGTTTTGTGTCAAAACTGGCCCCCACTCACATCCTGCTCCTTCCCAGGATCTGGGAACCGTCTCTCAGTCTGCGAATGTCACCCAATTTCACACAGGAAAATGGAGACTCGGGAGGGGTACGGATTTGATATGACTTAGCCCACACCAGCAACACCTCCCAATTTCAGGGGGCAGTCTCCACTTAGACCACACTATCTGAGTTTGTTACAACACTATGTGAATCCTGGGAACACTAAGGCAGACATGTTGGATGAAGACCTATCCATCAACTTCTTGCCCTCCAACCATGGGAAGGTCAGCTTGGACCGGAGAACTCCTCTTCACTCTTCAAAACCCAATGCCAAATGTTCCTGCTCTGAAAAATGTTCCCTGCTTTCTCCCCAGAAACCACCGGGGTTTGGTTTAACACTTCCCACCTCCATTACCTATCACATGCTACTATCTCTTTGTTTATTTGCTGTCCTATTGCCTGTCTGTCTTCTCCACAAAGCTTGGGGTCAGGCTTGTTTACTGAGGAGACTCTGACACTTGCACTCAGTAGGGACCCCATGAGTATTTGCTGCTTGTACAACTATGCAGACAAGGATGCTTGGTCATACCACCCTCCCCTGCTCCAGAACCTTCCAGAACTCCCTGCTACCCACCAACTTCCAACCTTTATGTTAGGATTTATTTGTCCCCAAATAAATCCTAACCTCTACCTGTGGTAAGACTTCATGTCACATAATTTCATCATGTCATCACATGGGACCAGTGCCTGGAGAAGGATATCATGCTTGGTAAGGGTCAATGGAAAAAAAAGATGAGGGGGTGGCTGCCACAATGGGGGCAAACATAAGCAATGTTTGTGAGGATGGCGCGGGTCTGGGCCTTGTTTCCCTCTGCTGTGCACGGGGTCCCTATGTGTGGAAGCTGACCTGAGGTACCTTACAACAACTATTCCACTAGGGAGTGGGTTGTCTTTGTTATACTAATGAGGCAAGATTAGTGTAGGGTCCATCGATCTGAGATATAAATGAAATTAAATGAGAGCCAAGGAGCTATATGGGGCATGATGCCAAGACACATGGAGAGCTCCAAGAAACCAGAAGCTGAAGACACTAGAACCTACCTCTAGAGCTAACAGAGAAAGACACCCACTAGAACTGATATTCGGAATCCAAAACTGGAGTCCTGGTGTGGTGCTGTGGGTTAATGTGCTGGACTGCAAAGTCGGCGGTTCAAGCCCACCAGCTGCTCCTCCAGAAACCCTATACCAGGTGGCTACGGGTTGGCACCACCACCAACAAACTGGGAGAATACATTTGTTTGTAAGAGTCATTCACATGGTATTTCTGTTCTAGCACCTGCTTTTCCTGTGGCCCCTAGCCGACCTATAAATTCTGGCCGAATCAGGGAAAGGGCAAAGGAAACGCTACCTCCTGGCCAGGCAGTATAGACAGGGCTTCCTGTCTTCCCATCCCCTTCCCTATCTGGGGGAGGCAGAAGTGGAAGGCCTTGGGAGTCTTCCCAAGATCCCACAGGACAGCCGGGCAGCCACCTCAGGTACAGAACATTCCAGCTGTAATGAATGAATCTCCACTTGGCTGGGTTTTTCTCTCACATACACAAATCCATCTCTTTTTGGTGCCAGTTTTAGAGCGAAGACAAAGTAATCCATTAGATGAGTAAAGATGCTAAGTAGCAATCAGGAAAGCAGAGGGAATTTAGCGTTCTCTGGGCAGGACAGGGGACACTCAGAATTGAGCCCCTCACTGAGCCCTGGGGTGGCGCTGTGGGTTAATGCGTCAGACAGCAAAGCCGTTTGAATTGCAAGGTCGGCGGTTCAAGCTCACCAGCTGCTCCTCGGAAACCCTATACAGGGTCGCTATGGGTCGGAACCGACTCGATGGCACTTAACACCACCACCACCACCCTAAATCCAGCCCAAACACTCGGTATCTGTTGTCACTCCAGGGACCTCCGTCATCTGCTCCTGGCTTCTCTCATTCCTGAAGGACCATGTGAATCTCTCAGAAATAGGAGACCGGTCCTGGGAGGGGGTCATTTCCCCCAGCCAGCAAGGGAAGCACGGGCTTACTTGTGTTCACCGACTGATCTATAATGAACAATTTCTCAGCACATCTCTGAAGGAGTGAAAACACGTGACACTGGTCACTAAGGCTAGGTGAGTCAGCCCGCGAGACTTACTCTGTAGGAAGGTGCTGTGGGGTTGGGAGATAGTGGGCAACAGTCATGTAGACCCGACACGCCCCCCAGCTCCCTACGAGGAAGACTTGCTCCTATGTTACAGACAAGCGGAGTTCCGGTGTGGCGCTGTGTGATCTGGATCTGCACAAGATCGCTAGGAGTCGTCCGACCACCAGCGGAGTATCCGAGCTAGGCGTGGCTTGTCAGATCACGTGGCAATTTCAGCCCTGGAGGGAGTGGGATCAGCAGTCGGCCCCTCGCCTCCCACTTCAGCCCAGGGGAAAAGCTGGTGGCGTCTGGCCGTCCGACGAGCCTGCGAAGGGCCCAGTGACCTTCGCATTCAGGGATAGAGGTGGCCTAGCGGCGGTGGCGCCAAGGGCGCGTGGCCCTTCGCATACTAATGGGCGCTCGGCTGGGTGCCGCCGTCTGTCCTCTGACGGGGGTTACTGGCAGTGCCCGGCCGGAGGCTTCTGGGGAATTGGCACGTCCCCGGAGTGTCCAGGGGTGATACCGCACTACCCCCCCGCGGAAATCACTGAGGCAGGATTCATAGTGCTGGGAGCGATGAGGACAGGGACGGGACGGGGGAGGTAGGAGCAGCCCTCCAGGATCCAGGGAGGCGGCAGTCAGCGACGCGGCCACTTGAGGCCTCCGGGACACAAGCCAAGAGCCTAGCTCCTCCTGGCTGGCGGCCCGCTTCCCTCTGGAGACATGAGCAGACAGAAGCCGGGGCCAGGGGGCCGCGTTCCGGACCTCCCAACACATCTTTCATGAAGTGGACGTTTAATCATGGAACGCAGTGCTCGCGTAGTGGGAATCTTCATGGGACCCTTGCCACGGTTCCAAGACGGTGTGCACCCTGGCCCTGGGGACCCTCGCAGCCCTCGAGACTAACAAGCGGGGGGTATAGCCCGGAACCTCATTGTAGCCCCAAGTTTTGTGGATGCGAGCCCGTACTAGGCGCTGACCCAGAGAAGCCCACCCCCTCCCGGGTTGTGACCACTGGTCTCTATCCTTCCTGTGAGGGGGTTCCTTCAACCCCCATGGCAAGGTGTCCAGGGGGATGGATGCTGTGTCTTAGGTTCCTGGCTGGGTGTGTGTGTGTGTGTGTGTGTCTCAGGTGGTGGGATGATGCAGCTGCAGCCAGAACTGAAGGCCAGACGTCCTGACCCTGATGCAGAGCACCAGGCTGCCAGGCGAGGGCACAGAGCCCGGGAGGGGAGGGCAGCAGCCGACAGCATGAACTCAGCGCTGGCAGGCGGTTCGTCTCGGTTAAACCACAAGGATTTTCTGGGCTATTAAGCAGGGCTGTCAGTTGGGGGCAGCTTTCTGGAAGATTCCACCAGAGGCTCTGAGGCCCACGCGTCTGGGCTGGGCTCTAGACATCCGCCTTTAACAGCTTCAGCCCCGGGGGCCCCTTGATGGCCCAGGAAAGTTCTAGTCACAAAGCTGAGTCCTCCTGGGGAATCCAGGCTCCTTGTCACCAGTCCTGGCCCAGGGTGGGTGGACTCACCTGGCCCTCCCCACCTTCCCACTGACAGCTTGTTAGGTGTGGTCACCCTCATAGACAGGTGCTCTCTTCCTCAGTGGGTAGGAGGCGTTGGTCTGGGTCCTGGGTGGGGAGGGGGCAGCTGGGACCTTAGGAGGGTTCAGAGGAGGGGCACAGGGCACCTCAGTCCTCTCGGTAGCTGGAACTTCTGGACTGACCCCTTGACTCCTGAGATAAGGGCAATAAATCCCCCATGCGTTCTCTTCTCCACCGGACCCCGGCCCAGTCCCTCCACGGCGCACATCGGATGAAAGACAGGGGCTTACACCCAACCAAACATGAGAACAGGAAACAACATTACAAAAGACACCACTGAACAATATGAAGACGCCCCCACATCTCCAGAGTAAAAAAAACCAGAAAATACAAAAGCATCCGAGAGGGGCGTTCAGGGCGTGGAGTCACTTGGCCGGCCTGGTGGTGATGATGCGCGTGGAGAAGTCGAAGAGATCACGGTTTATCTTGCGCAGGTTACGCACTTCGTCCTCTAGCTCTGTCACGCGGATGCGCAGCTGGTCCTGGCCTCCCAGGACACTCTGAGGACAGGTGGGGGTGGTCAGAAGGCAGAAGGACCCTGCCCATCCCTCCCCCAGGTCTCGCCATGCTGCCTCCCCTTGAGCGAGGGCATCACCTTCCCCGTCCAGAGGTGACAGGGAACTTAATTGTCCTAGGCTGCAGGACAGGTCTCACTTGGGGGGAGGGGGACTACTGTATCTGCTTTCTCACCGTGGCGGGCGACCACAGCCCCTTCGCAGCCCACCCACCTTCTCCATGGTGCTGCACATGACGGCCTGGAGTTGCTCGGTCCTCTCCAGGTAGCTAGGCTCCGCTCCCTGTAACAGAGATGGCCCCGGTGAGCACTACAGATGTGAATGCCTGTCTGTCCTCTGCCCCCACGCCCATCGTCCATACGCGAGGCCTGCTAATCAGAGTCTCTACCTCTAGGACCCCCGGCCCCAAGAGGACTGTCTGCAGCCATATAGGAATGGGGCCAGGGCCAGGGCCACTGGAGCTCAGGGGGAAAGGGCTGTGGCTCTGCCCTGTGACAGGTAGGGCCTGAGGCAGCCAGCCCCTCATCCAGTTTGAGAGGGCGGGGGACTCAGAGCTACTGGGGGTACCAGGAAGGGGTCTGGGGCCCTGCTCTGTGGGTGGCTGTCTACTGTGTCTACTGTCTGGAAGGTCTGTTCATTTGGGCTTAGAGCGTCACGCAGCCATTCTCTCATGTCATAATGGCGCCTTCCAGCCGTCCGAGTGGGAAGATGGGAGAATGCGCCCAAGCTGCAGCCTTATTGCTTGGGGGAGGTATCCAAATGGCCTGGACCGTCCACCACTGAGGATGTGATGGGCATGAGGCAGCCAGGGTGGTGGACTACACCCAAGGTCACCCAGGCCCCCTCCTCCTATGCTGTGGAACGTTCTGGAAGGCCCGGGAGTGTCAGGAGTATGGGGCGCACCTGCCGGTGGGGGCCCAGGCGCAGCGTCAAGCCCCCACGCCTCAGCTCGTCCCCATGCTCTGCACCCAGCAGGTGTCGGTTGAAGTGTGGCAGCGGCAGACTGGGTCTCAGTTCCGAACTCAGCATGGCCACAGGGGCGAGTGTGATGAAGGCATTGGTCACCGGGCCTGGAAGACCATGTAGGGACTCAGCCTGGGATGCCCCGAGACCACCAGGCACAGAGCTTCCAGGCTGCTGGGGCAGGTGTACAGGCAAGAGCCCACTTCACCCACTCCACCAAAGGAGGACCGGATGGGGCCAGGTGCAGGGGTCTCCCCTCTGAGGGTCACGGTGCGCTCACTGCCCCTCGGGGTCCCCCACCTTTGAGGGGCACAGTTCACACACTGTCCCTCGGGGTCCCCCCACTTCTGAGGGTCATGGTTCACACACTGCCCCTCGGGGTCCCCCTACTTCTGAGGGGCATGGTTCGCATACTGTCCCTGGGGTTCCCCACCTTTGAGGGGCATGGTGCGCTCACTGCCCCTCGGGGTCCCTCCACCTCTGAGGGTCACGGTTCACACACTGTCCCTGGGGGTCCCCACCTTTGAGGGGCACGGTGCGCACACACTGCTTGCTCTGAATGTCCCACAGCCGTACAGTCTCGTCATGGGAGCCGGAGAGCAGCACACTGCCATCAGTGGACACAGACAGACAGGTCACCTGGTTCCTGTAATGGACAGACAACAGGTCCACCAGTGACTCATGACCCCAGGGAAGGAGAGGACAGGGCCGTCTCTCTGAACACTGGAGTCCCCCTGAATCCTCCCATTCCCCTCCCGATCCCCTGGAGCCCCCCACACCTGTGCCCTCGGAAGACCTTCCCAGTCTCCTGCTCCGGCTGGAAGCTCTTCTCTCTCTGCCCCGGCTGTGGGTGGAGACCACAGTGAGTGTAAGGCCAGGGATCAGCCCAGGGGTCCCGGAGGAGGAGGTGCACTCCCCCCACCCCCCACTCTGGCCCTAACTCACCCAGGTCCACAGGTCCACCTGGAAGATGGAGCCCTCGCTGCCTCCGCAGAACATGTGGTGTTCGGCCAGGTCCAGGGTCACTGCCATGATGACCACGTCAAACAGCACAGACAGCAGCAGCTCGCCAGAGGACAGCTCCCAGAGCTGGGGGAAGGGCTCAGGATGGCTCCAGGGCTGGGAGGGGCTGGGGTCAGGGGGCTCCCAGAGATGGGGGGCCACAGGGGTACTGCCCAGCCAGGTCTCCTCCAGTGTTGCTGGGAGGCAGGTCCAGCCCAGGGGCCCAGCACCTCATGGCCTGCCTCCCAGGACACGTCAGGTCTGGTCTTTGGAGCTGTTTGGTTGAAGGGAGGGGGTGGGGGCCACTACCTTCACTGTCTGGTCCAGCGAGGCTGTGGCCACTCGGGCCAGTGGTCCCCCAAGGCCACAGTGCAGATCCGTGATGGGCAAGGTGTGGTGGGACCAGACATGCCGGGGGGCCGGGATTCTGGTAGGATCTGCCTGGAGCACACTAGGGGGGGAATGGGGCCAGCACTCAGTCCTGTCTCCACATCATAGGGCCCCTCCCCAATATCCGACTCCCTGCTAGTGGTCCACACCCCCTGTGGGGCCAGCCGCCCCCTCCCTCCCCCTCCAGCAGGACGATCCCCCTGCTCTCCTCCCAGGGGACAGGCTGTACCTGCAGAGGCTCCAGGCCAGCACCAGACAGTCCTTGCCCCCTGAGATGAAGTGACTGCTATCCCTCGTGAACTGCAGGCAAACCACGTCCTGGTAGTGACGGCTCAGGATGACCAGGAGGTTCCCTGTGGAGACCTGAGGGTGCGGAGCCCAGGCTCATGTTCCATCCCCAGTTCGCCAGCCATGCCCTATCTCCCTGCAGGGGACGGCCTATGGCCTTCAGCCCCACTGGGGGCAGGAGGGGGACTCGCAGCCAGGCCACACAGGGAGGGACTTTGGAGGGGCTACCTGGGGTGAAGGATGAGCAAGGCAAGGTAATGCTGCCCTGGCTGGGGCAGGAACACAAGCAACTCTGAACCCCAGGACTGCCAGTCACCCCTGGGCCTCAGTTTCCAAACAGGGCTCATAGGCATGGCCTTGGGCAGTGGTGTTGGGCACAGAGATGCACACACACAGGGAAGACACATGCATGTATGTACACAGAGGATGGGTATGTTCACGAGGGCACACATTTGGGTACAAGCAGAGAAACCATACATGGAAACGCATGTTTACACTGGCAAATACACACAGGGAAGGTGTGTGTACACATGTGGGCTCATACAAGGAAGACATGCATATATAGACATACACTTGTGGATGCATACAATGAACACACATGCATGTGGATACATGCAAGCACAAGAAGATAGCTACACACACACTCAGGCACACACATGCCCACAGAGAGCACACACGTGGAAGACGTGTCCATGCACACACAAGGAAGCTATGCATATACATGCATACACACATGGCCACACAGGGAAGCCATGCATGAATGTGTGCTCACACATGGGCACACATAGGGAAGGTATGTATGTCCATGCACACACACAGGAAATACATGTACATGTGCACACATACATGGACACACACACACACACACACACAGTTCTGAGACTGAGACAAATGTTATGGCTCCAAGGATTTCCTGGTGGGCCCCTCTGCATTCATTCCCAACTGCCCCAGCCGGTACAGAGTCAGGGCGAGGGGACTCTGGCTGCCGTGAGGACACCCTTGTGTCCACGCCTCTCACTGCTCAGTCCTCCTGGAAACCCACAGGCAATGTGGGAGGGGCTGAAACATGCCTTGAAGCATCTTCCTGTGTCTACCCGGCAGGGATGCCAGCCACCAGGTGCCTTGGTTTCCCTCCTGGTGCCCGGGCGACCTTATTCTAGCTTCCCGGTTGTGGGAGGCCAGGAATGAGGTCACCAAGGCCCTGGCCCCTGAGACCCTGTCACTAAACAGAACTCTCAGGTCCTCTACCACAGTCCCTGGGGGCTCAGGACAGGCAGAATGAGGGTCCCACCTATGGATTCTGCCCCGGAATGTTAGCGGGGAGACCCCATGAGCTGCAGCCCAAGGCGAGGCTTCCCCTACCTCCCACAGGTGTATGCTTTCCTCGATACCAGCCAGGACATAGAGACCGTCAGGTGATGTGGTCAGACAGGTGACAGGTCCGGGACACATGATCTTCTGCTGGAGCTGGTCCTGGGGATGCAAGAGGTTCAGGGTGAGTCCTAGGTACTGCCAGGGACGCCTACAGACTGGAAACAGGAGAGATGGGGGGGAGGTGGAAGCAGGGCGGGAGACCCTGGAGATGCTGGGATATGCATGTGCATAGGAACTGCACTGGCTAGCTCTAGGAATGGGGCCGGGCAGAGAGGGCCCAGTGGCCACTTAGTGTTTGTCCCAACCTGGCCTCCCCTTTCCCCTAAGGTATGGGCTGTGACCCTGAGCCTCAGTCTCTTGGTTTCTGAACTAGGGACACCTGCAGGGTCAGCATCTCGGGGTTTGCTGAGTGTGGACAGACAGAGGTGGTGGACAGACACGGAGCATGCTAGGCTGGCGGCTCCAGTCCACCCAGACTCCTCTCCTCCTCAGAATGACCTGGGGGACTGACTTCTGAGAAATCAGCCATAGACCATCCTATGGAGTTGAGTCTATTCTGATACAATGGGGTGGTCTTACGTTGGGGACAACTGGAAACCTTAGAGGAGGCAGGTTTGGGACAAAGACAGACTGGCCTTTGGGTCCAATAGGAGCATCAGCTGGGCCTCCCCTTGTGGACGGGGTTGGGGTGAGGGTCTGCTCCCACCTCCCTCCCAGTCTCGGGCTCCGTTTTCTACTGTCTGGACGTCCCCCTGCCTTGGGACGTAGAGGGATCCCCCTCAAAGCGCCCAAGCCTGCGCACCGTCCCTGCGAGAGCATTGCCCCCTGGCCTTCTGGTGGGTGTGCCCTGGCTGCCCAGAGACCCGCCCTCAAACCCACAACACGCGGTAGCCCCGCGCTAGTGCACAGCGCCCCCAGGCGGCTCCCCGCGACCCCCCAGCCCCTCCAAACTCGCGCATGCGCACAGTACCCTGACCAAATCTCAGCAGTTCAACCCCCGCACCACACCGCACCCCTAACACACATCCCGGTCCCGGCGTGGGGCGCGCCCCCGAGCCGCCTTTACGTCCTAGCCTTGGCGCGCGCCGCCAAACCTTGCGTTGCAGCTCCCAAGCGCTGATGTAGTTCTTGCCCAGCTGCGCTGCCAGCAGGTACTCGCCATTCAGCAGCGCCAGGCCGCGGGGTCCGGCTTGACCGCCGCGATACGTAAGCAGGTTGGCGCCCGAGTGGAGCTCCCACACGACACAACTCCACAGCTGGCCACCAGAGTCCGTACACACAGCCACTTCCATGGGCGCCGCCATTTTGACTCCGTCACCAACCCGGATGTGCGCAATCAACAACGAGACGCAGACGGCTAGGATCCGCGGGCGGGAGAGGCACCCACATTGGCTCGTTCCCCAGGTGGCTGGAGGATCCGCGCATGCGTAGTATCGAGGTGGGCTCGGCGGAATGGATTGTTTTCTTCCTTCGCTGCAGAGAATTCAGAGGCGTGTGAAATGGTTAGAGATCCGTTATGGCAGGCCTCCTCCAAAAAGATAGACGGAAAAGTCAGGACCCAGGGCCTCCTGCGAGCAGTTAGTAGCTTAAGGGCTTCTTCGAGGTCTGGCCTGGCTGTCTCCCGATGGGCTCTTTGAGGCTAGTGATTCGACCTCTGGATTCTTTTAGCTGGCCTGAATGGGACATTGCACATAAAACACTCACACCTCGCACCTAGTAGAGCGCGGTACTTTGCAATTAAATGCTTATTTGCTATTGATCAAGCGTCCTGTCTTCTATTTGTTGTTCTGTGCCTGGTTCGAGTCAGGTTCTACTCGTAGCGACCCCACACGCCCAACAGAAGGAAATACAGCCGGCTCCTGGGCCATCCTCACAATTGTCATGTTTGAGCCCATAGATGCTGCCACTGTGTTAATCCATCTCATTGGGGGTCTTCATCCTGTTCCATGACCCTCCTCGCTACCAAGCACGATGTCTCTCTCCAAGGACTGGTCTTCTTGCCATCCACGCTTCTAAGAAACACTTTCCAAGAGAGATTGGTGTATTGTTTCGGCAGTCCGTGATATACTTTCAATTGTCTTCCCCAAACTAGAATTCAAATGCATCCGTTCTTCTGTGGTCTTTCTTGTTCGTTCCTTGTCCAGCTTTCTAATGCGTATTTTCACGGTGATTGAAAATACCATGACTTGGGTCAGGCACACCTTAGTCCTCAAAGTGACATCTTTACTTTGAATACTTTCAAGAAGTTTTTTGCAGGAGATTTGCCCAAAGCAATGCATAATTTGATTTCTTGACTGCCACTTCCTGATTTCGTTTCCTTTACATTGAATCGTAATCCATACTGATGGCTGTAGTTTGTGATCTTCATCAAGTTCTCCAAGCTTTCAGCAAGCAAAGTTGTGCCATCTGCATATCGCAGCTTGTTAATGAGTCTTCATGTAATCCTTCATATAGTCCGTTTCTCTAGGATTATTTGCTCAGCATATACATTGAGTAAGTATGGTGAAAGAATATAACCCTGGTGCACACCTTTCCTTATTTTAAACCATTCAGTGTCCCCTTGTTCTATTCGAATGACTACCTCTTAGTCTAGGTACAGGTTCCACATGAGCACAATTAAGTGTTCTGGAATTCCCATTCTTTGCAATGTTATT